AACTTATAACCAGTGATATACAGTGAAAGTGACAACGTAGTTCAAATTGCCAGTTTGAGACAAAAGTTTCTTTAAGTCAAAACATGAATCGCAAAATGTTGCTCTTATAAACATGCAATATTCCACAATTTCTACAGCAAGAAAAACATGTATCATCTTCTCTCAAATATGAAGTCTAATGTAACCTGGCAAGAGCCAGATTGATGATTGTGTAGAACTCTAATGCGATCTCCACAATATCAATCTGGGACTTCTGCAGGAGAATCCTTTCGGGGAAAGGAGGGATAAACAGCAGAATACTTCAAGCTGATTGGGCCAAGTGACGCTGTGTGAACACCTAGATGTTCTACTCAAAAAGGGTTGGCGGGAGCGGGGCAAGATGTATTCTCGAGTGTTTGTGAACTCACAAATAGGTTAAGTCTAATGTGCACTTTGAACATTATCCTATAGCCGACCGTCAAAACAGAAACTGCAAATCATGTCTTATTTGCAATGGTCAAAAAATCGTGCAGCTCCACTTCAAAATCGTGCAGCCTCAATCTAAGTCAATAAGACTTGTATACTTAGCCTTTGTGACATCTCAATATGGATCTATAATCATAACGAGACAGGGCTTGGTTAGGACTGTGATGGGTGTTCCCAGACATCACTAAGTGGCGGCTAAACTGATGCATTATTATCATTATCATTATCAAATAGACAAGTTACGTTGTGTCGCTTTGTTAAACTATGTACTGAAAACATGGTCACATCAAAAGGCCCTGTCGGCCCTTGCAATCAGCACTTTTTATTTACGACAAGCAAATATGCGTGCACAAGGCTGCCGAATCATCTGCGCATCACAAATTTGGAACGAGTTTTATTAATGCCCATTCCTCTTCTTGGTGTAAATTGGGGAACTCAAATTTACACCAAAAACAACACTGAGTGGGGTAATTAACTGTAACATTCTCACAAACTAAGAATAGTCTATTTTGCATGTTATTTCTCCATATCTCTTTCAATCCTGCACTATATGTACAAATACAATCATTTACTGAAGAAAAAAACCTTAATATTTCTCCCATTATATCACCATAACCTATTCCCCATCTGTCCACTTTGGCTTGAGACTTTTTCTTACTGCAGAATAGTGGTCACAAAACGCCGGTGCCATCATTAACCCTTTAAACTTGTCAACATTCCCAGCGTGCCCATAACTTTCCACTTACCCCCTCCCTCCGTCCCGATCGGCACCTCTGTCCGCCGCCACATGTGCCGAGCAGTACCTGCATGTGTGACAGTGCTTGGGTGGTCCACTTCACTCTGTGACTTTAAAATAAATGGAGAAATGCCAAACAACGCCTTGACGTACGGCTGGTATTTTTAAAACAGACAAAAAAAATCCACACTTTCTTTTGCTTTTATACTTTTTTAATACAAACACTGCACAAATTGTATACAAAGTTACAGGCTAGTGCAATCTCATGATAATACTGACAATTTTCAAAGTGATTGGTAATGTATACATTCTTTGGTTGGACACATTGAAAAATATTGAATAAGTGGGTGCATATAGAATAGTTTTTGTGCTCAGGTGCAGACTGTGTAGCTCACTGCTAACTCATTGTTAGAATCATTACTTCAATAATTTATTAAAAGTTATAATATGACAACTAAATCCTATTGAAGTGAGGACTATCTGATTTTTAATGTACTTTGTTGTGTACGATTGAAAAACATATTCAAATTAGCAATAGCTTAGCGATGCAAACAGGGATGTATAAAATTTTTCCCAAAGACAATTCTGCCACGTGTCTCATCACTTTTAGCAACTATTCTTGGCAATATACTTTTAAAATCATGTCAAGAGAAGTATAAGTATTAATATTAGGTTTGAGAAAAAAAATTTGGCTTTAGGTTGACCCTATTTAAGTTTTGGCAGCAGTGGATTCGGAGGGAAAAGATTAGTCCCTTGTGAACTTATTTGTAAAGTTTTATCACTGTGGAATTTTCACATACAACCATAAACTGAAACGTATTGTTCAATTAAAGTGATTATCAAGTCATTATTCCATTTTCAGTTATTTGGGGGGGAAAAGTATTGATGCCTATGCTAACGCGAGCTAGCATACCTGCTAAACAGAGCGGAACGGGTGAGACTTTCAAAGCTAACTTCACACTTGTATAGACCCACCGAAATGTAGCCTGAAACCAGAACTGGTAAGGCTCACAATAACTTCAAATCCAAATTGCCACACTCGCTACATATGCGTAGAGTTGGTCTTTCTCCTCATGCTTAATGCCACCTGTCACCAGTAGGTGGCGGTGCCGACCCATTGTCTACTCTGGATCTGCTGAAAATGATTTTCTTCACTCAGATATCTATAAAGTTATGAAACATGGAGTTCCACAAAAGATGCACTCACTATCACTTTTAAGAGTTAGGAATCGGACAAACATATACTGTATGCCTATTTGTTTTTTAAATGTTGATTGTGGGTTATGTCTCCTGTATAGTATTGGATAATCTGTAAGTGTGTTTAGTTACGAAGAGTTGGAATTTGGGAAAATAGTGAAAAAGAAGGACTCAGTTATTTTTTCAAGATTAACGAATAATGTGTTTGACAATTGCAAGCAAATAAATAAAAATAATCTGTTTGAAAGTGAAAATGCAACATAAACCTTGAGTTTGACACTACAACATTGCATTGTGAATATATAAAATCTAATTGAACCAACTTTCCAAACTTGATATTGTGCCCCAGGAACCAACCTCTGTTTTCACAATATTTCACATCTACAGTATTCATTTAATGCACTGACACCAAAGTCCCTCCTTCCGAGGGACAAGAATTACAAAGCACTGGAAAGAACACCGACACAAAGCATCGTCTTTGACAACTTATTATTTGTAATTAACTTTACAACAGTTTGTATCATGATCGTGAAGGATTCTCCCAATGCAACCCTGTCTTTACAACAGGCGGTTCCATAAGTCGTCTATAATTAGTTGAAATAAGTTTTATGATAATGAACAATGACCAATGTGGCCAATAAAGTACAGTTTGATATTTAGCAGAAACGTAAAACAACTTTTTTATTTACATTTATAGATTTAGTGATGAACTTGTTTTTCACATTATGTTGTATGAGCACTTTTGGGTATTGGCATATATATATTTTATAATGTCATACATGTATAATGTCAAATATATATTTATATTTGACATTATGATGATGTCTGACATGATATCTGTCTTCGGCTTGACGCCAATCTGATGTTTTTTGATGGTTGAAAAGAGTAATTTTTAGCTTGAATTGCAAGATGTATTGTAATCAAATAAAAAAATCACAATGTCAAAAGCCGCAATTGAAATATCAAAAATATCTCATGCATATATTCTGAAATGGAGGGATAGGTCTCTCAGATGGCCTGTTTGGAAAGCAAAGGCAACCATTAAAGCTTAAAATAATGGATGGATGGATATTCTGAAATGTTTATGATTGTCTCTCCGTTAGTTATTAGTTTGACAGCTCTTGTTTCCATTTCACCAAAAGTGTAATGTGATGTGTCCCCACTGACCAATGAAAGAATAGATAGTTGAGAAAGTGTGTAGGTTAGGACTCTTACTCTCACTTAGCCATGTGTTATCACTTGCTTATCTCCAATGTAAATGTATTAGTATAGTTGAATGCAATCAAACCAACACATTTACTTCTTGTGAAAACAGCAGCATTTTGATGGATACTAGAAAAGGACCATGAGAATGATTGCATTGTGCGCCATTAAAGTTGAACATTAATCAATAACAGATACAAAATGTGAATGAGAAGCATGTCTCTTTTTGGCAGTGTGAAATCGGACCATGTTTTGACTGTGGCTTTCTGAGGACTTCAAAGACGTCTTGTACAAGCTGCAGTGCAACAAGGTCAGGGATAACACATGACACATGGCCCGTTTCCCATGGGTCTCAGGCGGATGACATGATAGCACCGTTTCACCAGTATTTCATGAGATGGAGTTGAGAGGGGAAACACCACCATAATAGCGCTCATTTTAAAAAGTGTTTGTCCTTCTCAAAAGTGCATCAAAAATATTGTTTACATGGATTGCCAACATGTTTTTGTTTTTGGGGGACGATTTAAAATGCTCCAAGGAGTCACAAAAGCCAGTTTGCACAGGGTGCATCCTTGAGTACTGTCACAGAGCCGAGACACAGAGGACATGGGCACATTTGAAATACTGTTTCAGATACCTCCCTGGAGAGGTGTTCTGACATCTCCCACCTGAAGAAGACCCCGGGGAAGACCCAGGACACACTGAAAATTCTATGTCACTCAGCTGGCCAAGGAACGCCAGCTGAGTGTGTGGACAGGGAAGTCTGATTCCCTGTGGAAATATTTGATAAAGCAGAAATAAAATGGATGGAGCAACACTTGACATTGAATCCAGCTTCAGAAACCGAGAATCCTGGCTTTTGAGAAACACCTACCGAAACCCATGATTTCCACAAATATAACTTTGCTTAAATTCCAAATATTGTTGCTGTAGGTCAGATTGACTGTCATTTCCTTCACGAATCTATTTATATTTATCGCTTTTATGACTTGTCATAAAAAGAAGAAAAAAGAAATTCATTCAACCACAGCTGAAAAAAATGCACATTTGGCCGAAGTCCTTCATCATTTATCTTCATCAACATCTTGATGTCCATATTAACTTATTTTTTAGTACTTTTTTATAAACAATATTTGTGTACAACATGCTCTAAATCCCATTTTACATATCCCAACATCTCTGGTTAAAGGAGACATATTGTGCATTGTCAAAGTGAAGCTACAGTCACAGGAGAATAACGATCACACCAACATGCCTGAATCACTCTAAAAAACAAATTGCATGGGTGAGCAAGACTCTCAAGATAAAAAAGCTTCAATCAGTTTTGCACAATATGTCCCCTCAAAGCTCTTTGGCTGAGTCTTTAACCTCTCGACTCATGTCCCATCTTCCTCCTTCTTCACACAGTAGTCATCACTTTGAGCGAGCCAGTGCGGAAGCGTAGGATCTTCTTCTTGAGTGCGTGCGAGGCCTTGATCTTGACAAAGGCCTTCTGCTGCAGAGGTCCCCCGGGTGCTCCTGACGATGCCGTTGCTGCTGTTACCGCTGTCGGTGGGTGCTGTTGGGGCCACACCAGTCCTCCGCTTTCGTCCGAATCACTGGACATAGAACTGGAGTCCGGGGAGTCCGCCTCGCTGGTACTGGACTCAGATTCTCCTTGGTGCTGGTATCCCACGTGCCTGTGATGGTGGTGATGGTGGACGAGGTTATGGTTCGGATAGGCATAAGTCGGTTGCACGGGACGGGATTTGCGGGTGCGTTTTGAGCACTGGTCCCTGTGGTTGTTGGGAGGCGGTTGGGATTGGCCATGCGGTTGATCGGCCTCATCCTGGCTGAGCTCCAGTGAGGATTGCCATCTCCTGCAGTTTCCGTTGCTGTGTTGTTGATTCTGCTTCTTGCTTTTGGACTGGCTGCCCCGGCTCCCTGTGTTAAATAGAATAAAGGACTTGTTAAACCCTACAGAACCAGAATAAATAAATAAGTATTAGAGACACATTTAAAACCAAAAATTAGGACATCAATGGAAGTGGATTGAGATTTATATAAGCCTAATATGTTTATATTTTAAAGACAGTGAAATTAAATTATTAAAAGTAAAGCAAACCAGATTGAAAGTCAGTATGAAAGGAAATAAAATGTTTAAAAGCTTGGTTTATGACAGCCACAAACAAAACAATTTTTTAACCAAATGCTTCACCTGGACACACAACTCTCAGCACCATTCTAACCAAATCTGTCATGTTCTGCAAACGGAATACTTCTCTGTCACAAAATAGAAAATGAACTCTCAGTCTACACCGTAAATGTTTTAACCTCGTTGGACTGATCTTTTGTGTTAAAACAAAGTATATTGGGTTTTTTTCAGACATTGGCCATAATCCCAATTGGTCCTTTTTCATGCACACACCAGACTCATCTCTTAACAAACAGTTTAGCACTTTACAGCTGCCCCACTGTGGCACCTGGTGTTCCCGGAGGTCTCCCATCACAGTACTAACCAGGCCCTGCCCTGCTCACTGCCAACTGATGCATACTGGTCACTATGTCTAATATGTTGTTCAATCAAAATCAATAAATAAATAAAAATAGTAACATTGAATGTATTATGAGCTGGAGGTAGCAGTTACAAACAAGTTGTTGCTTGTAACTGCTTTTCTGTAAGTGCCAAATAATGACAACATACTTTATTCCCCATGGAATATTTCCACACTGGACTACATCATAACCTTTTATAACTTTATACCTCGGCTTCCGCTTCCACTCCCCGCTCCATCGCGCTCCACTGTGTTGTACTTCCGCTCTGGCGCCCTCTGCAGGCTGTTCTCAGACTGTGACCGGCTTGCCTTCTTGCCCTGCTTCCGAGCTGGAACTCCATTTTTCTCACACTTCTTGGTGCTGCTCCGAGACCTCGAGGGTTGACTTTGCGCTGGCTGCTGTTCTTGATGATGGTGATGGTGGCTTCTTTCTGGAGAATAAGTGCTCCGATTGGGCTTGGAAGCTTTACCGGAGCTTTGATGATGCTGCGGGTGTGCGTAAGCTCTGGTCGAGGCGCGACATGGCTGAGCTGGGATGTACTCTGCGTTGACTAGATGCTCTTCCGGTGGCGGAGGTTGTTGAGGCTTGGGAACTCCTTGGAAGTTCTGGAGCGAATCGTGTTCACTGTTGCTTGAGTCCGCTTGGTTTGGAATCACCCTGCAAGACGGATATTCCAAAGAGATCGACCGATTAGGAACTTGTTTGGGTTTGTGGAAAGATTGATGCTGGCCATTTTGTGGAAGGTGATGGTAGGGAGGTGGCGGTTCGTCAATATAAGCTTGAAACCGGTCCTGTTCAGAGTTGTGGACAGCCAGTGGTGGAATTCTATCAGGAACTTGGACAAGATGTGGTGAAGGAATTTCAGGAATCACTTGCTTTGGGGAATGCTGGTCTTCTTTGCGACATAAGCTGCTTTGTCTTGCCACGCGTGCATCTGGTGCTAAACTTGTGCGAGGTTTTGAAGGCCTCGGTGGTAGGGTTTTACGCTGGATCAGCCCAAAGATATAAGTCTCTGCCTTCTGAGCCTGCTGATTGCCCTCTTGACCCTGTTCGAGGCTCTTGAGCTCCGCCAAAGCATCTGCGAACATCGTGCTCCGGGCTAAGTCGGAGAGCCAGGTGTCCCGGGGCTCAGGGTCGGGTGTGTTCCCATTAGGGGCTGATAAGGAACGGGGAAACCGCTGATGGAAGGCTTCAACAGGTAGAGTGTCCTCTTTGGGTAGAGAGATTTCTGAAAAACACAAAAAACGAAAGTGTTTGCTCAATAACCATGCAATTCATCATATTGAAATGATAACCAGAAAGGAGCCTAAAAAATAGGTTCAACTAAAATTGTGGCTTGTACATAGACCAGTTATCACTATTGTAGTCAACATCTTACATTTTACTCTCTGGACAAAGCTTTCCATAAGCCTGATCAATATTTGTCCTACAGGCCGGCTTCTCTTGGGTTTGTTCATAAAATTAGATGTTAATTTAAATCAGCATTTAAACTCCAATGAAGAATTATCATACTAAAACAGTTAAATAAACAAAATAAATTGGTCAAGCACTTTTAGAAGCCTTTTTGATTTATACCAGAACCTCCCAGCTTGTATTATATGAACTTGGCCCTCCATCTTGAAATGTGCCAAATACACATCTAATACCCTTTTATTATAAAGTTTCTTCATTTTTATTGAGATTAAACAGAGATGATTAGAATTAAACATTTGAGTATTGTGGAATTTGTTGATTTCCACATAAGCATGATTTTTGTAGCCATCACTTGATATGATCAGATCATTTAGAAATGTGCTGTGTTAAAGAATAACTCTAACGCCACTGTAGGCATTGTATTGAAAATATTACATAACCGCTCTTGAATATTAACAACCCTCCACCGACTGTGCAGATATTAGACTAGAGATGAGCCAGTGGAGCCATACAGACTCATAATGGATAATGATCCCTCTTTGTTTAGACAATTCACCCATTTGCATATTGCAGAAAATCGGACCAGTATGTTCTAACAGCAAGTGCAAACATATAAATGCATGTACCGATGTTCAGCCACTACTATGTTCTTCTATAAGTAATAGTTAAAGCTATACTCAAGCCACCTCTACACATTCGAAAGGGCTGATATAAGAATCTCATATTTCATCATAACATATTTATAACACCTTAATTTTGTCTAATTGTATTCACTCTATCTATTCTCTCCCATGCGCTCCATGTTGTTCCACTGATTACTTTAGACAAACAGGCCATAATGAGTTACATAATTGTCCGGAGTTGAGTTTGTCCGTGCCAGGCTTGGCATTTTTACCTGCTGGCTTTGGGCTGACATCCAGAGCGGTGGGAAAATCTGCTAATTTCACTTCGGGATTCATGGTCATTTGGGCCACATGCTGTTCCAAAGACGCCATTATACCCCATGGTGTGCACTGCAAGCTGCTCTGAAAAAGAAGAAATACACGGGGAAAGGCTAAAGTTAGACATCGAAGGAATGTAGTCATATAAATCCCCTACCATTATCTCAGGAAAGTTTTGATTTTGAAAGTACAAGCTGTCTTTTCATCTGTCAGAGAGTGGAGTAGAGCCAAAATATACAGTACAACTAGGGTCTGAAATCTCTTTGACATTTTCCCTCTCCATCCTGCCTGGTATTCGGTTGCTGAAGCTACAACCGCTCTCTTCAGGGCTCGGACTTTGAATAATGGCCAGTGCATGAGTGGGAGAAGGATGTTGTAAAAGCCTTGTCATCAATAGCCACAAAAATAGTAATTATTTTCCACTGCCATTACTGTCTCAGCCTATTTTCAACTTTCAGAACCTAGAGCAACAAAAGAGCACACAGTAACATTTTTTTTTTGTTTACCAAATACTAGAGCAAAGGACTGATTTCAAAATTGTGTATGGCATCTCCATTCCTATTTGTCAATTTTCTGATCGGTCATGTGTCTGGCAACGCAACCCAGGGAAGTCAAACACTTTTCTTCAACTTTTCTTGCCATCGCCATGAAACCAATTATATGACAAAGTGCAGAACTATTGACACTCTCACAACCGATGTATCGTATTCATGAATTGACGTCCTGTTGAGAAAATGCAAGTGCTTCTTTTACGATTGACAACGTTGATTTAATTCAACAATAAAGAGGCACATTCTTCATACACGTCATGTTCGTGGGTTTTCACTGACATCACATCAGGCAGTCACTGATATGGTCGCATGGAAAGGAATCTGCTCCGCTCAGACACTGCCACTCAAGTTAGCCATCAGCAGATATTTTTTCCTTGGATAGAAAAATAAAAATATAAATGTATGAATCCCTTTTAAGCTTTGAGCGTGTAAAGAACAAGGGAAAACCAAGGAGCTGATGGTCAAAAGTTGTGAAAAATTTATTTGGCATGTGGTCTGTACGGCTGCCGAGTCAAGATACAGTAGAACCCATTCCCTCTTTGCGTCATAAGTGCAAAGCCATTTCTTCTGCGACCTGTGTGCCCCGACAATGACACTCAAAAGTTCCTGAGTCAGATCCTACATTATAAAGACCTCCCCCCAAAGAAGAATGCTACCCGAAACGCGATAGTTTGCTTTGTTGGAAATGGTATAATCGGGACAGAGTGTTGCGCCTGCCGTGCGTCTGTTTGCTTGCATGTTTGAGACTTGGCCTGGATCCTGTCTGTTTCCACTGCAGCTGCTGTGAGTGAGCTGAGCAGAGTTGAGTGTGACCAGACGACTGCTTTCAACACCACCTCAGATACTCAGGCATGTAGTATCACATAGAGTACATGCACACACACACTTACGCAGACTCAGGCAGCGAGGCCCAAGGCTAAATCACAGTCCAACGTCGCTATTAGCAAAATCCCAAAAGAGCAATTATTCACAAGAGACTTATCAAGCAAAATGTTTTTAATTTTTTAATCCATGTTACACTGGTTTTCTCATCAAAAACAGACCTGGACTTTTTAGCCCCCTCCTCTTTTGTCTAGATGCTACTGTCTCTGGCCTGGAATGCTATAATGAATCCGTAAACTATCATATCATCTTCAGAGCCATTTTCTGCAACAACAAAAAATTATTCGGACATTTTATTTCAGGAGGACCAGCAGGGCCTCCTGCTGGTGCCCAGAGTGAGAACCAAACATGGGGAGGCTGCGTTTCAGATCCATGCAGCTAAGATCTGGAACAATCTCCCTGAAAATGTGAGAGAGGCGTCTACTCTGTCAATGTTCAAATCCAGGTTAAAGACTGTTCTGTTTGCCTGTGCATACAACTGAAGGATTTTATCTCCATTTCTAATGCACTGTTGTGATTTATTTATTTATTTTTTTAAATTTCTTGTGTAATTTTGAAAGTTTTAATGGTTTTAATCTTTTGTGTGATTTTAATGTTTTAATTGTGATTCTGGTGTTTGTTTTATGTGATGATTTGTGATGTGGACTGTGAAGCGCTTTGTGTTGCCCTGTGTATGAAAGGCGCTCTACAAATAAACTTTGATTGATTGATTGATTGACATCCCTGACTATTTTAGTGACATCATACTTTCCCCAACCTCAGTCTTGAAGACCTCAAATGGCTATTTCCCTGACTAAAGATTGAAACAACTGGTCCACATTAATGAACTTGGATCATCTGTGCTGTTCAGAGGGCTTTCACATCTGCATTCTCTTGCCTCAAGAATGCAATTAAACATGCATTTATCTGCAGCGCGTATACAAATAAATACATGGCTAAAAGACACACTTTGCAAAAACATATCGTTTTCTCTGACTATGACTAGGACCACAGGCGGAACTATCACAACAGTGGAACAGCAGTCGATTCACAGATACACTCCCACAGAGCCAGTCAAATGTGAGGCAAAGGACGGGACGGCTTTGAAATGTTGCGAGGAAGCTGTCCAAACAACGCTGCAGGCGCTCGAGAAGGAGCCGGAGGCACAAAGGAACTCTAAACACTGGCTGTATTTTGAGAAAGACTAAACCACATTGTGCTTCGGTCGGCTACTTAGTCAGGATTGTATTTCAACACTCGAAAGCTCAAAAATGATCTGAAACCACGCATTAATCCAATGAGATGTGGATGAATGCGAGATTCTTTTGTGATTTCAGTTCTTCCTCGATAGTGAATGTGAGACTGACAGATTCAGTGATGCAGTCGCTGTAATGGGCTGTTGTGGTCATAAAAGAGCCGAGTCAAAACTTAGAAAGAGTTTTCTCTGCAGAGTGGCTGGCTTAGAGATTGAGGTGAGGAGCTCGGTCACACGGAGATGCTCGGAGTAGAGCCGCTGCTTCTCTACTTTGAGGGGAGCCAGTTGAGCGGGCTCAGGCATCTGTTATTTGGATGCCTCTTTGGGAGGTGTTCCGAGCATTTCTCGTGGGAGGAAAACGTGCATGAACTTACACAAATAGGCACAGAAATGTATATGTTAGTCCAGTTGGTCGTCTGCTAGAGATAGTAAAAAGGAATACTGTATTTTGTCATTAATGGATTTGTAATGATTCTAGTGCCTTACTCACCTTCACTATTATCTATTCTAACACCAAGGACCAAATAACATCCCAACCATTGTATAACATCAACATATCTTTTTCAACCAGCAAAATGTAACAGTTATAGCAACTCAAATTTGTCAATGACACACTTACTACTTTTAGTTTTAGTTTGAATGCGCTGGAAAGCGGCTGCAAGTCCTAAGTAGCTCTAGAACAGTTTTTGTTTTGTGCTATTGAATTTTTATTTTTATTGCTTTTTTCTACCTGATATGTTGCTGCAGTACAGTGTTCAGAGGCTACTCCACCTCTGCTGCTGTGACCTGAAGAACTGTTGCTGATTATTACTATTTTTAACTTTTTAGAATGATCAATTTTTTCTTTTATATTTGCTGCTACTGGACACCTGAATTTCTCCGACGGGGATCAATAAAGTATCTATCTATCTTAGCGATATGTATGTCCTTGACCTGGTTCATTTTGGATTTACACAACTAATATTTCCATCTTCACAAGGAAAACTGTTAAACATATATCTAACTTGCTGACAATAGCCATGCTGCTAATATGCTGCCTATTTCACACCGCAAAATTACTAACTGTGGGCTTTGAACAAATATATAATCTTAACAAAAAGAGCATGTTCCGCAAAAACAAATGCTATACTGTCATTTGTGTTTATGAATTTCATAATTTGTAATACTTATAGAGACTTAATAATGGCTCTCTTACTCCATACTTTACCGTCTGGCACCTTCTGCACACAGCGTATCATTTTGCCAACCACTACAACGCCTTATGTAATGTCTAGGCTTGACGTCGCTATAATAAGAATAAATGTACAGCGAGGCAGCACTTGACACCTGGAGGTTATGGGAATAATTTACTCTGTATTTGCAGTGACAGTGCTTTGCCTTTGGACGCAAAGAAATCCATTTGGTAACAACTGGCATGCTAACAGAGCCTTTCCTGTCTCTCGCACAAAGCTATAGTTGGTCCTGTTGGGGCCTGGTTTGAGAGCAGCTTAGACAGGACCAACTGTAGACATGGTTAAGACCTTGTCCAGTCTTGTTGTGAATGTATAATCCCAGTATAATCCCAATGTTGATGCAAGGACCCAAAAAATCATAGCCATCACTTTCTGGAGAAGGTAGTCCATAGATCGTCTTTAAACAATAACAAATGTGATATAAGACCTTTTGTGTTCTGGGATGAAATACAAATATATCTTTATTTTATTTAAGGTGAAGAAAAAACAAAACAGTATATAGTATAGTACATAGATGTGTGATAACAATACCTGGAGTAATACAAACGAAAACCAGAAACCAATGCTACCTCAAATGCCATAGTGTGTGTGTGTGTATGTGTGTGTGTGTATTAGGTGGGGCATTGTAGACATTACACAAGACTTACACAAAGAATAGTAAAAATGTATACAAAAAAATAAAACTAATAATGATACAAATGATTCTTCGGCTTATGAAAAATAATGTATATATTTTGAAGGAATTGAAGAACTTTGGTTTGAAATTGAGGTGGTTCTATTGCCATAAATGTAGGGAATGTTATAATAATTTCTAGTTTTTAATGAGGCTTATAAACATTAGGCCACAACCTTAGACATTTTTGTTGATGACATGCAGGTTAGAAACATTTTGAACATATGCTGTATCGTAGCTAATAGACGTGGACTAACTGAATGTGATCTCACTCATTGAAATTCTCTGACAAGCTCCATGGTCGGAATTCTCTCAAAGCAACCTCCAGAGAAAGAGCCAATCAGGAGCAAAGCTGGTTCTTTCCCAATTCTTTATCAAATTTGGGAGAAGTAGCGACTTGATGGATTAGTAACTTTTGTTCATATCTTCTTCCCCTTCAGTCGTTGAGCAGGTCGGCACTGCCCATGATCCTATAATACAGTCTAAGAGTAAAACGCAGCATACTTCAGCCG